ATTTTTTTTTTTTTTTAATTAGGATTTGGGTGAAGATTTACAGAGTAAATTCACTTTTCATACAGCAGTTCACATATACTTGTCCTCCACTCTTGTAATTGCTCTTTCCACACCAGCCCTTCCGATGCCCTTTAGCTAGCTTAGTGCCTTGTACGTATTTGATAATTGGTAAATATTATTTGATCAATTTTGAGCTTCTGTACCGTCTCATAAGGAGCCCTGGTGGCACAGTGTGAAGTTCAAACCTACTAGCCACTCGTGAGAAAAGATGTGGCAATCTGCTTTTGTAAAGATGACAACCTTGAAAACCCGATGGGACAGCTCTACTCTGTTCTGTAGAGTTGCTGAGTTAGAATTGACTTGATGGCAATGAGTTTGATTTGAGTTTACATATTCTCATATCTGTAGCCTTTAGATGAAGACGTACAATTTCAGAATTTACTGTTTTGAGTAACTTTTGAGTATGAAAGCCATCTAGGAAGGAGCAGTGCAGATGACTTGTAATTGATGCTTTTCTTTCTCTCTTTTCTAAAATAGTTCAGAATGAGATTTGGTTTTTAGTTTCCTGGTTAAAATTGAATTTATGTTTCTGTAATGTTACCAGGAAATAGTAAAACATCTTGTCAAAGATAAAACTTACTGTTTTGTGTTTTGAGTATGTGAAAAGTATTGATCTGGTAATTGTTACTTTCTTGAAATTATAATTCTTTTCATTAATATAGAATTAATAAAAACAAAGATGCAAGCCCAGAATTTAGGAAAATGCTGTCTTATTTGAGCATAGTATTACCTGTAACTTACATAGCCTTGGGAGGGTCACTGGCTGTCTGATTTTATTCTGGCACTTGAGGGACTGAGATTTAGCACAAATTTCTTGACTACTGGGCCTAGATTTTTGCTGCCACACACACCAGTGTTAAATTTCTTAGGGGAGGGCTAGTCTTACCAAAGGACAAAGTATCTGTTTTCATGAAATTGACAGTTTATTTGGAGGGAGTCAGATACTAAATTAGCACACAAATTGTATACATTATGAAGTAAGACTGTAGAGGGTCAGTGAAAAAGGGGAAGACCCTCAAGGAGATGGATCAATACATAACAAGACATTGTGTGTATGTACCATATTTTGGTTCTCCATTCTTCTGTTGATGGGCACCTAGGTTGTTTCCATCTTTTTGCTATCGTAAATAGTGCTGCGATGAGCATGGGTGTACATATATCTGTCTTGTCCTGGCTCTCACTTCTTTAGGATATATACCTAGTAATAGGAGCTCTGGTAGCATAGTGACTAAGGCACTTGACTGCTAACCAGAAGGCTGGCGGTTCAAACCCACCAGCCACTCCTCGGAAGGAAGGTTGGGCAATCCTACTTCCGTAGTGATACTGCCTCGGAAACCCAAGGAGGGGTCGCTATGAGTCAGGGCTGACTCGACGGCACATAACAACAACAACAACAACCTAGTAATGGAATAGCTGGGTCAAATGGCATTTCTAATACCAACTTTTTAAAGAATTGCCATACTGCTTTCCACAGTGGTTGAATCATTTGACAGTCCCACAGTGTACGAGAGTCCCAATCTCTCCACATCCTTGCCAGTATTTGTTATTTTCTGTCTTGTTGAACTTTGCTATTAGTGCTGGGGCCAGATGGTATCTCATTGTTGTTTTGATTTTCATCTCTCTAATGGAAAGCTTCTTTCTGAGATGAGTTGAACTCAAAGGATACTTAGCATGACTCTAGGAGAAGAAGGGAGACTGGCACATTCGGCCAACTATTGAAGCTGATGTGACTGGAGAGATAGATAGGGCCAGATATATGTAGGGAATATGTTAGGGAATGCATTGTATTTTTTTTTTTTTTAACACTCAATGGAAGTAAACATCAACTACAGAAAAGTGTATAAATAAATGTATGTACCTTGATGAATTGTCACAAAATGAACACATCTGTGTATCAAGTGCTCAGCTCAAAAAACATTACCAGGACCCTGGAAGCACCCTTTGTGCTTTCTTCCAACCACTTTCCTGGCGTTTAATATCACAGTGTAAGTT